AGAAACACAAGCCGTTTTGTTTCAAATTTTTTCTACAGTATATCCAACATTTGTTTTCTGGTCCATAATTAGGCCCAGAGCTTTACTGGGCCACTGTCTCTACAGACTCGTCTTGTTTCATTTTAACTAGAGGATTAAATTACATATAACCTCCAAAATGTGTGATCAAAAACCAACCAAAAAAAAAAAAAAAAACCTGCTTTCTTGCCAGCAATATCTATACAGAACTGTACATTCAGGACTGTCCAGGAAAGGCAGCTGACTAGTGAAGACAAATGGAAATCAAGACTAAAGGGGTTTCATTAGTAAAGTGTTCTGCAAAAAACAAAAAGGGACACAAAAAACAGATACAAACAAGGATAATTAGAACAAGGCAGAGCAAGTCGAAGACAAATGCCAGCAAACGGCGCCAGAGCGCACATGTGAGTACATTTGTGTTCAGAGAAAAGAGAATAGAACAGAATAAACAGGAACAGAAACACTGAGATTACACAGGATGACTATGAGTAAATCTATTTCTTTGTACTTCCTCTTTTCTTCTTTCCTTCCCTCTTCTCTCCATCCCTTCTTCGTCTACCTCCTCCTTCCTCTTTTTTACCTAAGACAGTTCTGCTTTAGCCCTCAGATGCACCCACACTTTTCGAAAATGCTGAGTTTGCTTTACTTTTAAGTAGGCTGTTGGTGGACGCAAGCAGCAACTTCCAGTTGGAGACAATTATGATAAATTGTGGACAGCGGAGAGACGTCTCCAAGAACATTTTAGAAAAAAGTACATATTACATCTTTGTAGAAACATTTTGATTTCGCTTTCTTGTTTTCAAATTCAGAATTGGCAAAGTTTGATAAAGCAGTCACTTCCAGTTCTTTGTACAATAACTTTAATAAAACATACTATGAATATCAGTTTATTCTGTATATTATGGAATTGGTCGTGGTGGGTGATCGATTTAATACCAAGCAAGGCGAATACCAACACTTTATTACAAAACAACTTATGGACTGTAACGTGACGGAGATAGTTCTCTGAAGAACAAAATGTTTGCAGCAGAGAAAGATGATGACGCAACATCGCTAATGCAACCGAATTCGTTAGTTCTTTCCTTAAAACTTTTACCTGCTGCTACAGGAAAAGTCAGTTCATCACTAAGTTCAGCAGGATTCATCCTCTGAGGAACATTAATGTCTGTACAGAACATAATGTAAATCCCTCCAACAGTTCCTCCTTTCTACATCTGTTTATCTTTCTGTCTGCATGAATCCTATTAACCCTGGTATCGACACTCAAAACAAGACTCACTGGAACTTATTGGAACACAGCTCTCGTGTGCAAAGTTGCCTTTTTGATCTGAAGAAAAGTTGAGTCACCGAAACCACTCAAGTTTATCGTCTGAGGATCATAAACATATATAGAGAGTTTAATTGCAGTGTGGTCAGCAGTTGTCATGATATATGGCTTTAAACCAGCAGTTCCCAACCATTTCTATCAGTGAGTAAACTGACGACCCCGGCCTAAGTGATTATTGTGGCAAGTCTCTATACTACTGTGGGTTCCCTCAGCACACAATCCAACAATACAGGTCCGTTCTACAACACAACTTTACAACATACAACAACTTCATATAGCCCGTTCTCACTTGTCTAACTGCCAGGCCAGGTCCAGCACACTACTGCAATATAAGGAGACAGTGATTACTCAATGAGTAGCAGCTGAGATTATCAACTCAACTGGCTCTGCTCTCACAAGCCTTCCCCACACCTCTGTCTCCTGCAGCTGAGTGTAAACCACACCCACACCCACCTCCACAATTATATATTATTATTATTATTTTGAACAATAATAGTACAGAACTGGAACTGTAGAATCATCTCCAATATTGTAAAACAACTGATTTGGATGAATTTGGAGCCGATTATTTCCTGTGAATATTGAGTTTTCCTGATATTTTAGGAACCTTTTATAAAATTAACTGTCTATAATATGTATTTTTACAATATTTAACTATCATATATACTTAACAGGCTCCAATACAGGATGAGGCTGTTTATCAGAGAGTGAAGGCTCTGTGGGTATATTTTGTGTATATTATGTATGTATATATTTGATCTTCAAAGATAAATGAAAAAAAAACTAAAAATAACATTTTCATTTAGTTTTCTTCACAGAAATGAACTAATTGCTGAGATACAGGCATATTGTGTATATTTTAAGTATCATGACAGCCATCAGCTGATATCATCCTTTGACTTCAGATATGATTGTTCTGTGAATCTTTTCAACCTTGATGATTTTTGTTATGTTTATTAAATTTAATGTATCTCTATGTGACAGTGGAATGTAGAGAAGGACAGGAAAGATGAGGAAGATGACGAAAAACACATGCAGCAAAGGTCCCCGACCAGATTCGTACCCAGGATGTTCACCAGAGACAAATACTTGCTCACAGAGCCAACACTGACTTCTTTTACGAGTTATTGTAACGGGCATTTTCATGTTCAGCCTTAAATACATCTTCTTCTGGTCACCCAGAAGCATATGTCTCTCTTCCCACAGTTTGATCCCTCCAGATAGTTTCAGTGTGACTTTATCAAATCATCCCTGCACAATAAAGCTTAATGATTGATTTGTGGTGCTCCAAATGCTACAGAATTAGATTAGTGAGACTCACCAGCAGCATCTGTCTCTGAGCACAATGACAGGTCTGTGACGTCCTGAGGTCTGAGGATTGCTCAGGATGAACCTCACTGTCAACACATTCATTGAAAACTTCTGCTGTTCCCTCCAACTGAATGAAATTGAATCATTGCTGCGGAAACGGTCTTATGGCTGTCCATGTTTTTGGGTATTTTGGGACTCTCCATTCTCATTAACTCATCATTTCAGACTGGTTGTAATCATTTGTGTCAGACTGCTGATTCTGGGTCTGTGAAGTAAAGCCAACGTGAAGGTGTCTTTAACCTGCATTTGTTCTTTTTTGGGGGGTCTTTTTCCTTTTATTAGACAGGGCAACTGAAGATAGACAGAAAACAGGGTAAAGAGAGAAGGAACGACACGCAGGATTCAACCTCATGGCTGCTGCAGCAAGGACTCAGCCTTTCTACACAGGGCGCCAGCTCTACCAGGTGAGCTATCTGGGCGCCCCACCTGCAGTCTTATGGAGAAATGAGCCGACTTCCCACTTATGAGCTCAGTAAACAGTTTCCTGATGAGTCTCTTGTCTCAGTCTCTAGTTTCAGTCTTCTTCCACACACACTGTTCATTTAGTAACTGATGGTCCCATTTAGAGTAAAATAGACCTTAAAGCAGGGTATGCTTTAGGGCGGGGCTACCTTGTGATTGACAGCTCATTCTCAGTGAGTCTGTCCAGCTCGACGCACTTAAGCAAACTCAAACTCAGATCAAACTGTCAAATTAGGCAGTGCTGATCAGATATAGGTCCAGATTCTGTTGTTGACTATTTCTCTCCTCAAATCTGTTCACAAACATATTTTAATGTTTATCTGGAATACCAGATCCTGTGTGAGCAGGCAAGCCGCCATTGTTTCCTGCTACAGACCAACCAATGGGTGACGTGATTATGGGTTCGCACTAGGGCTGACCCGAACACTTCAAAGCTTCGACTGTTGCCATGGAAATCAATGTTCCTGTTCCAGGGTGCTGCGATTGTGCATGTTGGCTCACTGTTAAAGCTCTGCTACACTAAATGGACCTTCATCAGAATCATTGCTAACACCTGTGGTTACCCAGTATTTCTTGTTGAAATAGCTGCAGCTGGGGCTGTAAGGTAATGTTTGATAAAAGCTGCATCATATTAAATATGAACTTTCAGCTGTAGTGGTCATAGAATGTCAAACTTTTGTTTTATGTTGATAATTATGATCTTTTTTTGATTATTTAATACCCAAAAACATGATATGAACACTTTATATATACATATATATATATATTGCATATTTAATAATAAATGCAAACAGGCAATTTGTATACATTCTTACATCACCGTTTTATATAAGATAAAGAGATCAGCTGACAGTATAGGACAGCACTTGCTTACAAACAGTCATAAAAGCTGCAGTTTCAAACGAACTGACTACATTAATTTGGCCACAGCCCATCAGTATCAGTTCAAATCAAATATTTAATATAACGAAAAATAGGTTGTATGGTTGCAGGTCTGGAAAAAATAGGTTCGATGCCAAAATGATGCAGTTCCACTTTGCATCTGGTAAACCTGTTTCAAGTTTCACAAAAGACACACTTAGATCTGAGTGAGGGGCTAAAATACAAAAAAATCCAGGACAACATCAATTATTTCCAGGATATTTGGTAATTTTGATAAATTTCCAGGTGTTTCCATGAGTGGAAAACTAGTCTTGGGGGACCCTGCTCTCTCAGCACATTTGCAGACACCTTTGACCTTTGCCTTTTTTTTGCAAAAAAGGTTGGAATCAAACCAATGGCCGCTGCAGTAAGGGCTTCGGGGTCCCAGCTCTACCAGGTGAGCCACCACGATTTTATTTTAATTGTATATGAAAGTGTAGTTTAAACTGAAACAAGAAAAAAAACGTAATAATCGTACAGGACAGAAAGAGACAAATGGAGGAGCACAGTATGTCAGTGACATTTCTGAGTCATTGGGGTTGGAGGATATAGTCAATCACAGCAGCTTCCTTTGACCAGCTAATCAACTGCAGGGACAATCTGGGGAGCGTTAGTGGCTTTTTATGAAGAATTATTTCACAAAAACCACAACTGGAAGATTAAATTAATGCTAAAAATGTGCACAGAAAATCAAATTCCTTTTCAGATTCTCCTGATCCTGATCCTGATCAGCTGATCCTGCCTGCATTTCTTTCAGCAGCCGTCAGCGGACGATATCTGACAATATTAGCTGATTAGATCAATATCACTCTGTATCGATTGATGTCTATTTGGGATGATAGTGCATGAATTAAGCGGTAATGAAGTGTAAGCTGATACATGCTGGTTGCAGGTGTCTTACCAGAGGCATCATAGCTGAGGCGCTGGGGGAAACCTGTCCTCTGTAGTAGTTATGAAGCTCCACCAGCAGCTCCTCCTGCTCCTCGCTCAGAAAGCTCCAGGCTCCAGGAACCACCAGGGCCCCCAGCAGGAGCCATGCCCAAAGAGGAGCTCCCGTCGGCGGGCAGAGACACCGGCGCCCGGACCCCCTCCTCTGCTTGGAGCTCCACGAGGCTCGATCCTGGGTAGTCCTTCGGGTCGAGGCCCCCCTCTGGGTGGAGACCCCCTGGAGCTCTGAGAGGCTCCGCTGGTGCATGATGGGAAAGTTCTGAGGGATGTATCCTCAAGTGGTCGGTCCAGAGTCCAACAAAGTGTGTGTGTTAAAGTGTGTGTGTTGGATTGATCTGTGTGTGTGTGTGCGTGTGTGTGTGTACAATAGGTTGCTTGTCTTTGTTTGTGTGTGTGTGTCTCTCTGTGTGTGTTTAAGAGTCAGTAAAAGAGTGTGTGTGTGTTCTCTCCTCAGTGCCTCTCACTCTCAGCTCTGCCGATCTCCTTCTTTCTGACCCGGCTTTAAGAGAGAGAGGATCCTCCCCTACACACGCCACACACACACACACACACACACACACACACACACACACACACACACACTCATTCCACAGTTCACATTTCACACACTGCACCGACTGGTACGCACAACAAACACACCCCCCCCTCAGTCCTCTTACTCTCCATACGCTCCATGTCGATCCCCTCCTCCTCTCTCTCTCTCTCTCTCTTTTCTTTTTCTACGTCTCTCTAGCTTTTACTCCTTCTTTCTTTCCCTCCTTCACCTCTAGTTCGTGTTATTGGCACAACATTCAAAAGATTCTAAAGATTATATAGTTAAAACAATTCTTGCATACCTGTATGTGCACTGATTACTTGTCTCTTCTCTTCTTAGAGCCTGGAGTTCTTTTATCATGTTATATCATGTTTGTCTGTTGAGGACTGACTTGTCTTTTACTGTAAACCAGGTGTGAACCAATCGTGGGTGAAAGTGACGGAGTGTAAAGTGAGTGATTTGAAGAAAGTCCATTTTAAATTGCTTGCTTGCTAATGTTGTTGTTCAAGGGGAATCCGACCCGGTGGCAGATATAACCTATAAAAAATATCAAAACTTCTCTCTGATGGTCCTGTTGTTTATGTCGCTCATATAGAGGCATCAGACTGTTTTATAACCAGGTGTAGCACTTGAAATGCACTTTCTGTTTCTTGCTGAGCTGCAGATAAAGGATAGTAACACATAAACTGTCAACATTCTCACATTAACTTCAGCTCAACGTCAGAAGTCTTTTGTTCTCTATCTCTTATAGTGCAGTCATGTGGACACAGTCAGTACAGTATGTACAGAGCGAGTGTGAACCTATCCTTCACTGGCTCTACATGTACGATTATGAAACATTCTACTTATTATTTTTATGTATGAATCACTTTTTATCGTAATTGTTTTTTGGACTTTTCTCTCCCTTTTATTTACACACTTTTGTCACATTTAAACAAAAAGAGCAAAAAGAAAATGTGTGACATAAACATAAACATGTTTCTCTTTCTGTCTTCTCTCTCTCTCTCCCTCTCTCTCTCTATCTCTCTCTCTTGCTATCTCTGTTTCTCTACCCCTCCCTCTCTATTTCTCTCCCTATCAATGAAAAGGTTGTTGAAATGTGGGGAAGTCTGGTATGGACTCACACACTCACACAGAGTCATACTGAGTCACTGAGCAGCTGATCCTGATACAGTTTCTGACTCACGTACATTTACGTCTTCTCTGTTCTGGTATGAAGAGCCTCGATGCTCTAAATCACTGCAAATGTTTCTGATGCTTTATGTTTGCTCCAACTTTTTCTGGTTCTGACCATTATTCCTTGATACTATTCTCTGATAACTTAAGATCCAGACGTCCGATGACTAAAATCCTTCATCCGGTTCAAATCTAGAGTTAAAAAGCACCAAGATCTAAACAGTGGATGGTAACAATGTGGCTTCAGACTAGATAAACAGTCAATGTATGACAGCTTCTGGCAGACAACCACAACGCTGACGCAGGCACAAAGGGGATATGACGCCGTCGACAGGCGACCGGTGAAACGCAGCGTTACCTGAATAAAGTGACAGATTTCTCTGAGTTTGAACATTGTTGGAAACAGTTGGGATAATGTAAGAAAACAACTCAACTACATATATAACATTGTTCTAAAGTTTATACACTGTTTGATGAGGAAATGTTACCGATTACAGTTTTAACGTTGTCTGCGTTCACCGTCTCCATCAGTGCCCGTCCATAAAGACCATGAGATGTGCTGAAAGCTCTGACAAACAACTATTTCCAGAGAGATTATCAGAGATGCTTTTCTTTGTTTTCAGTGGCTTGAAAAAAAAAGCTCTTGTATTGTTGTTGTTGCCTGGCAACCCATAAAGAACAGCGCCCCAGAAGAAGAAATCCTGAAGTCTGAAATCTGTGATCAGTGAAGAGAAAGAACCACATCATGGGCAGGGAGGAGTCACAGCTGTCACATCTGTAAGTTCACAACAAACAGAAAATGTGTCCAGGGGACAATAAACTGTGACACATCTGAGGGAGGCGATCAAACTCCATCAAACACATTTTATTTCAGAGTTAAACTTTGGTGAATTTAGACCTGTGAATTTGTGCCATTGGTCGTCCCGCGGACCGTCTTTACGGAGCTGACCTTTGAGGAAACGGAGAGTCAGAAACTCCAACACGGAGGATGTGCTTATCAGCTGTTATTATCATTGTTATGCATATGATGGTGTGTTTTTTAAACTATGACCATTTTTCCTAAAACTAGATTTTAAAAAAAAAGACTGTAACCCCTGTATACAATTTGTTTTGTATTGAAAAATCCGTCCAGTTAGATTTTCAAAATAAAGCTTGCTAAGAAACATTTCACATTTTATTTAAGCAGTAAAATAACTTCTTGGTTAGGTTGGGGTTAAAATAAGTATGTAGTGCAAGTATGAAACCTACGAACTTATAAGTAACGCAAAAGTTAAAAAGCAGTCAGTGTTCTGGTTTCACACGCGAAGTAAACAGCAGTCTCCTAAACTCCTGTGTTTGTTTGAGTCATCCATCCACCCCACCTCCTCCATATGAAAACTTTCTCACTCTTTACACAAAGTCACCTGATTTCAATGGCACATCAACCGTTACCTCAGACAGACGCGTCCAGTAACGACACTAGAGGAGCGCCTACAGCGTCACAGTGAAGTGCACTGCCACCGAGCGAGCTGTCACATATGACGAGTTGGGAATGAGAACAGGCTGGTGTGTATTCTCCTCTTTCGGAGGACAAACTGCGTCAGTAAAGAGGACGGGTTTGCAGATAGTTATGAGTATCTGGTCAAAGACGAATCTGTCTTATGAAATAACTGTGTGAACTTAGTGTCCCATTAGCCACTGAGCTAATTAGCTCACTGTAAAATCCTCTCATGTATCCGCACTCAGGCCGCAGCAGAAATAAGAGCGTTGGAACGGCCTTCGTGGTGGTTCCAGGTCACGCGATCAGTTAAGGGAACTGAAATGTATCCTGTAACAGTAGATGTGCATCAGCAGCTGTGTGTTAATGTATATGTATACGTTGATGTCACTGTACATGGACAGTAGCTGTGAGCTGGAATATGAATATCAGAAGAAAATCAATCAGTCATCAATCAAAATCAATAATGCATTACACCATAAACTCACAATCATTTAGAGACTAAACCCTGAAGTACATAGGGGTCTACACGTCCGTCTGTGTGTGTGTGTGTGTGTGTGTGTGTGTGTGTGTGTGTGTGTGTGTGTGTGTGCAGATGCAATTAGAGCCTCGTGGTGTGAACGCTTGCTAAAGCTGTGTTTTCATTCTCTTAGCCAAGTACATCACATCATAACACACACCCAGCTGTACCCACAGGCTCACATTTCACTGTACAACACATTCCTCAGTGTGTGTGTGTGTGTGTGTGTGTGTGTGTGTGTGTGTGTGTGTGTGTGTGTGTGTGTGCGTGCGTGCGTGCTGAAGGAAGCGGAGGGGTGAATGTATGAAACTGAATCCTGCGGGTCACCGTTTGCACTGTAACACCGGCCTCATGCTGACAATCTGCAGGGAGACACGGCACATGTGTGTCCTGACCTCACTGTCACACACACACACACACACACACGCACACACACAGTGACGATTGGAAACACTTTGCATTAACGATGTAACACTATTTAAATCTGGGATTAATTACATTGAACAGGATGTTTGACTGTGAGGCGTCCATGTTTGCTTGAGTTTCAGTCATGTCTTTGTGTAGTTAAACATAAAGTTGGATAAATCAGAGATTATCTTGCTCTGCTTATGATGTTGACATGAATGCTGTTAAGTTGAACACTCTTAATGATGTAAAATCCAATGTTACATCAGAATCACTTTATTGGCCAGGTATATGCACACATACAAGGAATTTGACCCCGGTTTTACGTCTTCTCAATGTACAAACAGACTAACAGCATAAATAAACAGGACTTAACTACTAGACATAAATGACTATGTACAGTTATACATATTTATTTATTTAAAAACTAACATATGTAGACAGTAGACAATACTGCAATGGAACATAATCAAACCATCCAACTTTTTTAATGTCCATTTTCAATTTGTCCTTTAAAAACCAAGCAGCAACCTGGATGTAAACGCGCCACCTCTGTGCCCATTTCTGGATTAGCCAGGAGGCCAAGATGACGACAGCCAGAGCTGACCACACTGAGCTTCACAACGGCTCTTCAGAAACCTGTGGGGGATGTCAGAGACTACAGTCTATGGTGGAAACACTAATTCTAACAAAAGTCTAAATACCACAAAAAAGTGTTTTCTGTTGTCTGAGGTCTAAAAGTTGGTGTTCCAATAAAAAGCAAATGGAAACAGACTCAGTGAATAAAGGACGCTGCGCATCAAATGTGATTTAAGCGTCACTTTCAGGGAAGAGCTGAAAACGTCTTGTGTCTTCTTCTGCAGTGGTTTAATGGCACTGACTGGAGAATTAGCTCTACCTGAACACAACAGCAGTGGATGAACGTGCATTCATTTGCATTTTCTTTTGCTGATTTTCTGGAAAATTTGCAAAATATTTGCACCAAGTTCGGATGGAACCGACTGAGACAAAACTAACAAAAATCTTATCACTAAAATGTGACTAGAACTAATATATATTTAACTGTCATATTCAACAATGTAATTCTCTTTCATTTGGTTCCTTGCACTTTCACATTTTAAATATACTGATTCTTAAAAACAGTTTTGGGTCTCTGTAAATGATGCTATAAGGAGTTCAGTCTAGACCTGCTCTATTTGAAAAATGTCCTGAGATAACTTCTGTTATGAATTGGTGCTATACAAATAAAACTAAACTTTAATTAAAAAAACTGCGGCACCTTTCAGATAAAAGATCAAGAGATCAGGAAGCTTTGAATCATCCTCGTCTCCTTTTAACACATTCCAGAGAACTCTATTGTTCATGGAGTTAACAACCAACAGTGCTTTAAACCAAACAGGAGATAAC